TTCTAGCTCTGAATCGATCTATGATCCTAACAAACATCCAAAGTCTTGCAATCACAATTACATGTATATAACCTATGTCAAATTGCTTGCTTTCTCAATGGCAGGGGGCAGGAAGGGAGAGAAATTGGAACTAAAATTTTGGGAAAAAAAAAGGATGTTAAGACTTTTTACATGTAATTGGAGAAAAAATGAAACATTAATTTTTTTTTAAGTCTTGCAATCAAGACATGTTTAGTGAGAAACCTGACTCTTTGGTCAGCGTGAGCAGGCCTTGGGAGAGTGAGCCCAGAACACGCATGAACTACATTTAGTGTTCTTTGGAATATAAAGGAAACTTAACCTGCTCCTTTTCAGACTCTTCAAGAACCCACTCATTTTTAAATTGTTCTGAGAGCCCCACCTGCCCAACATGGCTTTTGTCCTAGGGATTTCTTTTCAGGCCTTCATAGACACTGTAGGATAGAAGGGGGAAAAAGTGAACATAGATGTGAATATTGGGTTTGGGGTGCACAACATACGCAGATGAGATTCATTTATTACTCAGCAGAAACTTCAGCCTGTATCTGTCTCATTCTCCTACTTTGGAAAGTCATCTTAGGTCATTCCCTGACAATCTCTGTCTCTCTCTCTCCTGACTTAAAAATAAAAACCAAGTCACTGTTTATTTTTAAACTTCTCTCTTCTCCCCGCCCCCCACAATGAGTCAGGAGGAAAAATATTAACTCCTGGAGAAGGCTTCAGGAACCTTGTTAGTGGCTCTTGGCTCTTAAGTCCATGTTAATGTCTAATTACTCCCATGTCCACATCTGCAACTTGGAAGGTTGGCTTTTCATAGAATTCAGCCTGGGCAGGGCTTTTTTAACTTTTCCAAGATTAAACCTTGACCTCATAAATAATGCCTACAAGTAGGTCACTTAATGTCTCTGAGCCTTGGTTTACCTATGCCCTGAGTCTAGGGCTCATTTGTGTCCTGCCTGCCCAGGGTCTACACAGTCATATATACATACAGTTTGGGTTAGGCAAGGCAGTCAATGATCTCTGCTTCATCATTTCTGGCTAGATCTGCATGTCATACAGACCGTCATTTTAATATCATTATAGGTGACTCTCTTGCCTTCTAGAAGGAAGTCTGGCACTTCAGCCACCTCATTGTTGTTGGAGTGGTTCATATTCTTTTTGCAATTCCATTTCTCCTGCTGGTTCTGCTTTCTCTTCCCTCTGCCACACTCTTTCTTTTTTTTTTTTAGGCTATCCATGTACAATCATATTAAACATATTTCCACATTAGTCATGTTGTGAGAGAAGAATCAGAACAAAAGGGGGAAACCATGAGAGAGGAAAAAAAGAACATGTGCTTTGATCTGCATTCAGACTCCATAGTTCTTTCTCTGGATGCAGATAGCATTTTCCATCATGAGTCTTTTGAAATTGTCTTAGATCATTTTATTGCTGAGAGAAGTTAAGTCTATTAAAGCTGGTCATTGCACAATGGTCCTGTTACTGTATACAATATTCTCCTGGTTCTGCTCACTTCACTCAACATCAATTCATCTAAGTTTTTCCAGGCTTTTCTGAAATCTGCCTAATCATCATTTCTTATAGCATGAGCTACATTTAGTGTTCTAAATTCTGTACATTCATATACCACAACCTGTCCAACCATTCGCAATTGATGGGCATCCCCTCAATTTCCAATTCTTTGCCACCACAAAAAGAGCTGCATGTAGGTCCTTTTCCCTTTTTTTATATCTCTTTGGAATACAGACCTAGTAATGGTATTACTGGATCAAAGGGTATGCAGAGTTTTGTAACCCTTTGGGCATGCCACACTCTCTTGATTATTCCATCTCTTAAAAGAGAGATATTCTTCAGACTGCCAAAGTCCTTCCAATCCCCCTCTACTCAGTCCAAAGCTACTCTTCTTTGACCTTAATATCTCTGTCTATCTACCCTTATTTCTCACCTTAAGCATTATTAAGATCCTCCCTTCTTTTGGTTCTGGGACCCCTGGTGAACTCATAATCTAGAGAACTTTCAATCATTGCTTAAGTATTCTCCAAACTTCTGTGATCATCTTTGATGGTTTTCTTTCAGCAATCTTCCAAAACTTCTTGGTATTCAGGGGGCCCTTTCCCTATCTCTCTTGACAAAGTCACTTCCATATAACTTTCACAGGCCTATCTTTGAATAACCTTAGTCATAGCCACTTGTACCTCTGCACCTGTTATAGCCTTAGCATATTTCTCAGCTCACTGTAGCAACTGGTTAATTGGAGGTCTACTCCCCTCCCCTAAAAGTATTTTCCCATGAGTAGAGCTCAGTCTACCCTCCTTAAGTCCCAGTTTTACTACTCTGAATTACGGTTTCAGGTCTCTGTGCAAGCCATTAAGCATACATCTAGCAAGGTCCCAGACAATTCAGAAACCTCTTTACATCTTGGATTCAATATGAGACAGGTTGGGGGAATCAGTTAAACAACTCATGGCTCCTAGCCCCCATACAACACAACTATTACCAAACCATATAAGACACATCTAACTCCAACAACATTGAATTAAGACTTGAAAGAAACGTAAAGAATAAAAAACAAGCCAAGTAGTAGAGTCTACTCTGCCTTTTATACAGTTGGGTTCAGTCTCCTACAACCACTCAAATGGGGACACATGGGAAAAAACATCCTACAGAAAGAGTGGGGAAATTGTCAACTAGTCCCCCTCACCTCTTAGCGTATCTCAGCGACTAGCAACCTCTCAGGATAGGCTATAGATCTCTGAAACCTCTTGGCTAGGCTCTGGAAGTATTATGATCTACTAAGACTCCTTCCCATCTCTACTCACTCCCATGACTCAGTCTCTCTTCCCTTATTGCTGTTTCTGGGTTTGGCTCTCTGCTTACAGCTCTTCAGAAGCACCCTAATCCCCATTCTCAGTCACCTCTCTAGTTGTCTACTCCTTTCCATATACCTCCTCTTCCTTTTTTTCTTTAGGTGTGAGCATCTGAAAAGCTTTTATGCTGGAATAACCTCCTAGGATTCTGACATCCTGCAGTTTCTCTACTGAACATCTCCCTTGGCTCTTAACTCTGAGCAATTGAAAGCATCCCGGAAAGCTTCCACTAAGGACAAAAGCTACCCCTGTCCCACATTTTAGATCCTCTCTACTTATAATCAGATTGTTGGGACAAAGGATTTCCTGTCAGTAAGAATCCTCAGAGATACTTCTCTGTCCCAGGGTGACTACTTTTTCATGATTGTTCTTTCGTGTGGGCCCCAGGGATTTACCACCTGCTCCCTTCTGGTTGCTACTAACTAATCATTGCTTCTGACTAGGGAGGATTTCACTCCTTCCTCCCCCATCCCACCCCCAACAGCATGGAAACAAAATCTCTTAACTCCTCTGCTCTTCTGACCCTGAAGCAAACACACAAAGGTTTGGTTCCAGGTTTTAAGAGTCTTTATTAGCAGTAAGTACAGTGAAACAGACCGTGAACAAAAATAATAAGGATGAGGAAACATATAGCTATCTTAAGTTTGACAATTAAAAGTATTCCTGATGTTCAGTGGATAAATATTGACTCCACTGATTATTTTTTAATTCACCTCTTTGTCTTCAGAGCCAGTCCTGACAAACCCCTCAATTCTTTTATTCCTGGGGCTAACACCATTTGATCCAGGGGCTCCTGGACCTCACTTCCTTTTTTTCTAAAGGCCCTTTTCATGGTTCTGCTATGTTTCTCTCATAAATCTCCAGTGGTTTCCTATTGCATCTCACATAAAATACAAGCTGCTCACCCTAGTATTTAAAGCCCTATATAATCTGGCTCTGCCTGCCTTTCAGATTTGTTGCACATTACTCATCTTTACTCACATTCTATTCCAACTAAATTGGCCTGCCCACCAAAACTCAGCTTTCCATCCTTTACACAGGCCTGGAGTGCGTTCTCTCTGGGCTCTGCTGAATAGAATTTTTAACTTCATTCAAGATTTAGGTCAGGTTTCATTTCTTCTATGAAGCCTTTACTGACCCCCCTAATTATTTGTGCTCTTCCTCCTCAGATTATCTTGTAGTTATTTATCTCTTTGCATGTTCTACCCCCCAGCCTAATGTAAGCTTTCATGGCCTTGCACACAGTGAGAGCTTAATAAATATTGAATGAACTTGGGAAAAAGAAGCAACCCCTTCCCAAGATGATATTCGTATCAACAGTGGTTCTTTGGGTACACGAAGGTCTCAAATGAGATTCTTTTGTGTCTCATTGAATCACAGGATGTAAAACTGAAAGATACCAGCTAGTCCAAAATCCTCATTTTATAAGTGAGAAAAGTGAGACCTAGAAAACTGAAGCGACTTGGCCAAAGGCACACAGCTAGTTAGTAGTATGTGCAGAACACGAGACTGTTTATTTCTATCTCCCTTTCATAAACTGAGAAGGTTGGATAAGATAGTCTCTAAGGTCCCTACAGCTCTGACATTCTAAAATTCTATTATCCTCCAACTTTGATTAGAAAAATCCACTAATAATGAAAACACTTCCAGGAGTAGGTGAGAATATTTGGGGACAATGGAAAATTCTTGAGGATAAGTAAGGTACCTAGAGGACAGATGAGGCTGGCTGGGGAATGTTCATAGATTTCATATAATACAGAGCTAGAAGGCACCTTAATGGTCATCTTATCCAACTCCCTCATTTTACAGATGAAGAAACTGAGGTCAAGAGAAATTTAATGACTTGACCAAGCTCATGTAGGTATTAAGTGGCAAAATGGTCATTTGAAGCCAGGAACCTTAACTCTCAGTCACTTGTTCCACTGAATCATAATATTATGTTACCTGCAAAAGAAAGGTATCAGCCCTGAAGGTATCCCTGAGCCAGTGAATGGGTAGGAATGTGTGATGAGATGAAGGAGATGCGGTATTCCAGACTTAGGTCAGTTGGTCAACCTAACTTACCCCTATTTTGTGTAGCATGACCCCTTCTTTTTTTAACCCTCTGCTCCTCAGGTCTTTACATCGGTTGGCGCTGCCCTCATTACCTATGGGACTGCTACCGTATTGGGAATGAGTCAAAGTGCTTTTGTGGACACCTGCTGGCCCAGCACCGGATCATCTCAGGTACGGAAGAGAAAGGTAGAAGCGGAACAGCAGAAGAATTATCTCACCGACAGAGAGCAGAGGGCAACCACATCCTCCCAGTTTTACAGCAGGAAGATCTCAGGCACTGGGGAGTGGACTAGATCCTGTCAGTTATAGGAGGGATGGATCCCTTCCCACCCACCAATTTTCCCCGTCCAGATATATCTGTTCCCTGTACCAAGACTGCATGCCGGTGTCAAATGTTCTGCTTCATCCCATCGCGGCCAGAAGAAGTAGGAGAGTTCTGGCTTCAGAAACGATCTGGTTTTAACCCCAAAGCTTGGAGGGCCCTTTGTCGCTGCAAACACAACCACGAGGAGCACCTTGCCACAGGGTCCCACGCCTGTCGACATCGCGGTACCCCTCCCCTGGGAATGGGTGATGGGAAATGCTAATGGGGAGATGTAGGGACTAATTGATTAGGGGAAATAGGATGGTGAAAAGGGAATGGATATGGAACATGGGCTACTCGGTGAATTAACTTGGGGAGTGAAAGCAAACAAGTGTATTGTTAGTGGTTCTTTGGGTGACCAAAGGACTCTAATGAGATTTATTTGCCTAGGATGATGGAAAAAGGAGTGGGATTGGGGAAGCCCCTTAAAGGAGGAAGCCCTCCTCCCAGTGAATCTTTGAGTTGCACAAAGGATTGAAATTTATTTGCAACTCATCTTGTTTCACACTCAAAAAAATGTCATTTTAGGGATGGAAATAGGGGATGGGGATGGCATTGGTAAAGGGGGCAAAATCAGAAGATGAAGGAGACTGGAGATAATGGGAATATGATGAGAGATTGGGAATAATATGGGCATGGCAATGAAGGTTAGTAAGAGACATCAGGGTTCAGAATAGGATTGGAATGAAAGTGGAGATAGGGATAAAGTTAAAAATGAGGATGGTGACAGGAATGAGAATTTAGGGATAGATGCATTATGAATATGTGTGAAATGGAGGAAGACGGAGAGATATAAGTTGGAGGGGAAACCAAGACTGGGGAATGCCTTCTTTGCCTCTATGTTCTCTGCTGCTGCTGCCTCCTTCCCTCTGCCCTCTCACAGGCTGCCAGTGCAACTTCTTCCAGTCCAACTTCCTTTGTGCTGCATGTGACCGACGATGGGAAGAACATGAAACCTTCTTTGAGTCAGAGGAGACCAGGAGGCAGGGAGGGAGACCAATTGGTGAGAAGAGCCGTTCAGCAAAGGGCGCTGTACAGTAAGGGGGAACATATGGAGAGTGGAGCAATATGGTGAGGGAGATTGTGTGCTAAGGCGGGGCATGGTGAGGGAGGCCTCTGGAGAATGGGTAGCTGCATGGTGAGTAGGATTGTATGTTGAGTGAAGCCACATGGTAAAACCATGATAAGTCATACTATATGGTGAAGGGGATCACAGTGGATAACCCAGGTAGTAAAGTGCTGTGGCACCCAGAACCATCCCTCCTGGGTCTCCTGCCTCCCTGTCTTCCCATTCTGCCTGCCTTCCCTAGGTTCTGGAGTTGACTGGGTTGCTGCCATCACTATACACGTTTCCTATGAGGTTTAGAGAACTATGTCCCCAGCCCCTTTAGTTTCAACCAAGACCAGGCTAGTTTATAGAAAGGAACTTTTTTTACTCAAAAATTAAAGGAAAAGAGACAAAACAAACAAAATTAACACATTGGCATAAAAAAGGAGATGAGGATTTTTTTTAATCCAAACTTAACTAAAGTCTAAACAAAGTCGGTTGGTTTGGCTGACCCAGCTCATGGGGCAACAAGTCATTGGTTCTTTTCCTTTACTTCAACTCCTGACCCAATTCCTTCCATCCTCATAATTAGATGGAAAGAACCAGGTGCTTCCTCCAGTTGTTTCCCATCTCCTCAGACAAAGGGAAGAGCAGGAGGGGGGAAACCATGGCTCAAATTTAGGTTAGCAGATTAGACCAATTCCCCAGATTCTCCTTCAGAGATCCCCAAGGGAGGAGTCCCTTAATTGTGTTCTTATAGAATATAATATGTTAAATAGACATTAAAATTGGATATGCATATTAAATCCCAACAAAGCAAGATGAGCATTCCCCTTACAAGGCCAGATGGAAAGACAGCTCTACTAGGGTGGTGAGGGAGGCCATGTGGAGAGGGAAGCCATATGTCAAGGAAGGTGGTATAGTAAGGTAGGCCATATAATGAGGCTGGCTATACAGAATGCTGAGAGTCATATGGAAGAGGAGTCAAATGGTAAGAAAGGCCATATGGTGAGAAATACCATTTGGAAAGGAGGGCCATACAGTGAAGGGGGCCATATGGTGAGGGAGGGTCATATGGTGAGGGGTTTCCCAATCTCCATAACCCACCCATCCCCCCGACTTCCTTTTAATGTATCTGTCCCAATTTCCCACCTCTTCCCCCAAATCCTTTTCTTTACATCCATTCCCCTAGGATCACTCTCCCTGGGTCTAGGACCAGCTCTTATATAATGGTTCCCCATACCTCCCAGACCATCCCCCCACTAACCATTTTCCATGCTCATCCCATCTACTGTCACTCGCTTCTCACAGCCACCTTTTGCTGAGATGCCTGCCATTCGAGATATCATCCTCCCTGCCTCGGAATTTGAGGCCCTTGTGCAGCAGAGCCCCCCATGACCTTCTGGGCTCCCTGGACCTTCTGGTCCCAGCCCCAGCAAGCCCTTCTGACCCTCAGCCCTCATCTACTCTGCTCTTCCCTCCCCAGGGACATGCAGTATTTCACCTGGCATAGGAACATGTGAGCTGGGCCACAACGCCAGGAAATAAAGATATGTCCATAGTATGAGGACATGGATGAGCATAGATGTGTGTGAGCATGCCAGTACATGTCTGAACTTTTGTGAACCTATGTACGAATTCATGTGAATGCATATACATGTGTAGGAGTATGTTCTGCATATGGAGGTGTATATGTGTGTGTGTGTGTGTGCAGTGCATTGTACATATGTGAGCATATGCATGTGTATGTCTTCATGTGTATTTCAGCACAGAAGAATGCACACAGATATGGCTATGATCCAATACTGGTCTGAATATAGTTGTGTAAGAGAGAGAGTCCCACCATATAGTTATGGGGTCCCAAAAGTCTTAGTGCAGTTTTAAGCTTTAAAAGCTTAAAACTACACTAAGACTTTTGGAACATCTTGTACCAAATCTTACTCTTAAATTTTTATCTCTTTGAAAAGAAAAAAATATAAAGGTAAACACTGCTAGCATCAACAATAGACCTCTCTTGGGATTTAAATTAGCCAGCCTAGATTTGGATCAATAACCCATACACGCAAGAGCATGTGTTCACATCAGTTTAGTAGGTGGTTCTAGGGACAAGAGTCCAAAATTCTAGAGAAAGGGAAGGAAGCTGAGGTGAGGACGACGGCCAGAGTATAGGATGCAGGATTTGGGAATACTGCCTGAGAAGTAAAAGTGACTTGAGTGTAAGGGAATTGCTAGCAGGTGGAGGCTGAGAGATTCAGTGCAGTCCCCTCGCTACTGGGTCCCAAAGTCCCTTCCCCACATGTTGTCATTGTGGTGAGCTAGACCCATACTCAGCTAGCACAAGTGATGAGGAGACATAGTTGGATCCAACCTAGAGCCATCTTTTTTGCCAAGTACCAATTGCCTATGCCTACAAAAGAGTACTCAATGGGAAATGAGCATCCATGAGTCTATGTGTCCATGTCAGGTGGGTATGAATATACATCTGCAAACTGGATAGTCTTATGAGTAGGTAGCTCCCTCCCTTGTACAGTTTCAGGGATTCTAAAAGGCCCCATCTCCCAAAACCAATCTCCCTTCCTCATATACTGATGATGCCCAAAATCTCACTGTTAAAGCTTCGTTCCTGAACTTGAGCCTTTACCCCTCTCTGTTAGTGTAAAAATGGCTATGCATTGAGGGGAAGGAGAGGGGAGAGCCCAAGGCCTCATCAGTCACTAGCCCTAGTCTGAAGGAAATAATCAGATTCTCCCTGGATAAAAGCAAAAGGAGCAGGAAGGCCCTGAATTTTCTGTCCAGAAGACCCACCAGGTGTGCCAGCCCAAGATCACAGCCACTGTTATAATGCTAGACATAAGTGGTACATAGGAATTCTAGGTTACAGTTCAATTCAATGAATATTTATTAAGAGCCTATGCAAGGAGAATACTGTACACAGTAACATCAACATTATTCGATGATAAACTTTGATAGACTTAGCTCTTCTCAGCAATGCAATGATCTAAGACAATTCCAAAAGGCTTGTGATAGAAAATGCTATCCACATCCAGAGAAAGAACTATGGAGTCTGAACGCAGATGGAAGCATACTGTTTTCTTTTTTGTTTGTTTCATTTTTTCTTTCTCATGATTTTTCCCTTTTGTTCTGATTCTTCTTTCTTAATATGGCTAATGTGGAAATACATTTAATATGATTGTACATGTATAGCCTGTATATCAGATTGCTTGCTGTCTTTGGGCAGGGTAAGAGGAGGGAGGGAGAAAAAAATTTTGGAACTCAAAATCTTACAAAAGTGAAAAGTGAAAACTATCTTCGCATGTAATTGGAACAAATAAAATACTATTAAGTGGAGGGTGGGGTGGGGGGAGCCTACTGAAAACTAGACATTGTGTCTGGGCACTAGAGATACATAGACAAATAGTGTCTGTTTTCAAGGAGATTATATTCTCTTGGAAGGAAATAATATGTGCATAGAAAATTGAATATAAGATATAGAGAGAGAGCTTATATGCATAGCTATATTTACATATTGAGATAGATATGTAAATATGTGCATATACATACATGTATATATACATATATATATACATATATATACATATATACATATATACATATATACATATATATACATGTATACATATATATACATATATATATACATATATATATATATATATATCAGTTTTCAGGGACATCAGCAACTTGGGGTAATCAAGACAACTTCCTGTAGTATATATCACTTAAGCTGAGTTTTGAAGGAAGCTGGGGGTTCTATGAGATGGAGGTGAGAAGGAGATGCATTCTATACGTGAAGAACAGTGCTGTGGAAAGGCACAGAGTTAGGAGATGGGATGTCATGAATAGAGAACAAGTAGAACAATTTACCTGGAATGAAAAGCATGTAAAGCATAATATTTTCAAAGATAACAGAAAGGAAAAATGACAATTGTTGAATGAGCTGTGGTAAGGACAGCCACACTAATGAATGTTGGTGGCACTATGGAGTGGTCCAACCATTCTGGAAAGCATTTTGGAGCTATACTCTAAAAATCATTAAGCTATGATTTTTAATGCAGCAATAAAGATCAAAGAGAGAAAAGGGATCCATAAGAACAAAAAAAAAAGATGTAGCAAAGATTGTAGCAAAGAACAAGGTGTAGTACCCATCGATTAGAGAATGGCTAAGTAAATTATAAGGCAGCTAGGTGGCGCAGTGGATAGCGCACCAGGTGTGGAGTCAGGAAGAGATGAGTTCAAAAACAGACTCAGACATTTACTAGCTTTGTGACCCTGGGCAAGTCACTTAATTTTGTTTGCCCCAGTTTCCTCATTAGCAAAATGAGCTGGAGAAAGAAATGAAAAACTACTCCAGTATCTTTGCAAAAAAAAAAACCCAAATGGGGTCACAAAGAGTGGGACATAACAATAACAAATAAAATTATGGTATATAAATGCAATGGAATATTACTGTGGCACAAAAAAATTGTGAAAGGGAGAAATTCAGAGAAATCTAGGACATGCATGAAATAATGCAGAGTGAAAAGGGCAGACAAGAGAACAATTTGTATGATAACTGTAATGTAGTAAAGAAAAACAATTGTGAAGGACTTGATCAGTCCAATGACCAATTATAACTCCAGAAGACTGATGATAAATTATGTTTGCCCCCTCTTTGCAGAGAGGTAACGGACTAGGGGTAAAGAAAAAGGCATTTTCAGACATTGACATCATCATCGTAGTATTTTATAGTACCTACTAATGCACTAGGAACTGTGTTTAGTACTTTACAAATATTATTTCATTTGATTCTCACAACACTGCAAGGTGGGTGCTATTATTATCCCCATTTTACAGATGAGGAAACTGAGGCAAAGAGATTAAGTGACTTGCCAAAAGTCACAGAGCTAGATTTGAACTCATCTTCCTGACTCCAGGCCCACCAGCATGCCACCCAGACAATGTGTGGGATTGTTTTGCATGACGATACTTAAAAGGTGACACAGGTAACTTTTAATTATACGTTTCTTTTAGCCAAAATGGCCACCTGAATTGGTGGCAAGCCGCCTAGCCCCCGCATACCAATTCCAACACAACCCTGAAGTTTTTCAGACCAAACAATGATTAAGAAATTCATTGAGAATTTCTTCCATCCCAGAACTATACAAAAAAATTAGCTAGCAGCCCACAAGCTAAAGGGCCCTCATCTACCCAGCACAACCAGAGACTGGATACCTGTAGCCTGAAAGGCCCTGTTCCAAGGGTAGTAAGAGTGGAGAGTTCCCCTCAAACCCCAGGGAAGCAGCAGCAAACAACCAGCACAGTGCTATCCAGTGGAGGCTGCAGAGCTCAGAACAGGACAGGACAGGACAGCAACAGTAGCTCTGAGGGCCCTAGCATTAAGTCCTGAGATGCTAAGTGTCCTGAGGATCCAGGGCTCTCAATCTCAAAAATTTAGGGAGATCAAACCCTGGGAAGCAGAGGTCAGAATAAGAATCCAAGGGACCAAGCTGGGTTGAGCACCCCACTCAAAGGTGCAGCAAGGAGTAAAGCCTGGCCTTAGCACAAAGGTCCAGTTCAGGAACAAAGACTGAAGAAATTAAGTTAGAAAAAAATCTAGTTTCAAAAATTATTGCAAACATAACTGCATAACAACTGCCAGCAGAGATTCAAAGGGAAATTAAATGTTCTTTCAAGGACTAGCTGAATACTTAGAAGAAGTGAAGCAAATAGATTTTTTTAATGAAATAAAAGCTCTTGAGAAAAAAAAATTGAAAGGAGAATAAGTAGCTTAGAAGTGAATATGGTGGGGCAACTAGGTGGCACTGACCCTGGAGTCAGAAGGACCTGAGTTCAAATCTGGCCTCCGACACTTGACACTCACTAACTGTGTGACACTGGGCAAGTCACTTAACCCCGTTGCCCAGGCAAAAAAGAAAGAAAGAAAGAAAGAAAGAAAGAAAGAAAGAAAGAAAGAAAGAAAGAAAGAAAGAAAAAGAAAAGAAATGGAATCCCTGAAAATTAGAATAAACAAACAAAAAAAGACTCTATGAAACAAATATTTGAACAAAATCAAAAACTTGAAAAAATAAAATGTAAAAAATCAGATATCAAACAAGAAAAATTGACCTGGAAAACAGGTCAAGGAGTAATAATTTAAAAATCATTGGACTTCCTAAAAGCTATGAATTGTTAAAAGCCTGGAAACTATAATTTCAAAAAAAACCAAAAATGAAATCTGCCCATAACTATTAAAAACAAAGGCAAAGTAGAAATATTACAAATTCACCAGTAACCTCTTAAAAGGAGACCCAAATGGAAAAGTCCTAAGAATATCATAGCCAAAATCCAGAGCTTCAACATCAAAGAAAAAATTCTGCAATAATATGGCGGATTACAATATGGGACCCCAGCTGAACTCTCCCAACGTTCCCCTCTAAACAACTTTAAAATAATACCTCTGGTCAAATTTTAGAGCAGCAGAGCCAACAAAAGGTCAGAGAGAGACATTTTTCCAGACTAAGACAACTTAGGAGTTTTACAAAAGAGGTCTATTGCACCAAGATG